AGGAGTTAAAGGAGACCAGAAGAGACATGAGTAATGAATAGACAGCGAGGTGCATGATAAACCATGAGACGAACAGGGGTCTCATGGCTAGATGCTTTGGACTCTCTTTACAGGAACTAAATGGAAGTCACAGTCTGCATGGCGGACAAGGAGCAAGTTGCCTGTCAACTACTGTGCTAACCCCCTCCCTATCCCCTTCCCTCGCGTCGTGATCCCTCCCCCTCTTTTCCTTCCCTTTGTATCCTCCCCCCCACCCTTCCCTCGTGTAACCCTCCCCTCCCTTCTGTTTTCGCTCTTCTTAGCTGTATATCTGTTGTTGAATAGTTTGTATTTTTATATACATAGGTACAAAACAATAAAGATTAATTGTAAAAAAAAAAAAAAAAAAAAAAAGCAAATTTAATTATGCATAAACACGTAGTCTTTGAAACATTTAGCACTGACAACCCTAGCAGCTATCATTAAATTTATAAGGTCCTAGCACTAGAAGTCAATTTGCTTAATAAATGTTAAGTACAGATATATATTTAAAATGTGTACCACATATCTCCCATGAAGTGTGATCCAGAATGTTTAACATCTATCTGATGTGCTTTTTTGCCAATCAGGGCTGGTCAAACACATGTTGCTGCTAGAGGCAGAGTGATAAATGATGCCAGGTTATTCTGGCTCATGCAATAAAAATTATTCAAGTACCGTTTTATCATCCCTGGCAGTAAAAATATAAAACAACAAATTAAAAATCTTCGTAATTCACTCACTATCTTTTTGCACCACCAAATTGCTGCTTGAGATGACCACTCAACATGTTGCGGCGTGCTGTCATGTTTCTGACGATAACCCCTAGGTGAATTTATCATGGGGTTTTATTAGTCAGATTTGTTCAGAGGGGGTTTTCTTTTGCCTTCTTTTGAGGCTGAGAGTATGTGACTTCAGACTTACCCATGTTCATTTAGTGGATTTCAATTGTCCTTTTTTGGGGAGCAGTTATCTCCAAGCACCATCATCTGGAACCTGCCTGAGAGGTACTACCAGAACCAGTGCAACACAGTGTCACTGATTCCCATTCCCGCCAGGCGTTCCAGAAGGGATACCATGGTTGATCGTATTGAAGACCGCTGAGAGGTCTAGAAGCACCACCTGGGACACACTCCCTTTGTCAGTGCTGAGATGGAGATCATCCACTACGTTCAATTTACAGCAGAAGTTGATCATAGAATCACACTGGAGGATTTAGGCAACCCTTATAGTCCTGATTATCAATGCAGATAATCCACATTATATGCTTTGGATTATGAATCCACACTGCCATATAATCCAGTCCAAAGCAGATAATCTAGATTTTATATGGCCTTACACAAACCTGTGAATAATCAAATCCACAAAAGTCAAGTCTGCAAATGAGGAGGTCTGACTATAGTTTCATTATGAAGGTGCCACAACAGAGAAGGTCCTACCTCATATGCTCACTGACCCTGCTTATTAGTGTGATAGGACACAAACCAGCTGTTAGGAAGTGTGTGTGGGGGGTGGGGGTGGGGGTGGGGTTGGAGTCCAAGGGTCCTTCAACACAGCCATATAACGCAGAATATCAAGGTAGAAAATCCCACAATATCTGCTTTGAACTGGGTTTTCTGAGTCCATATAATCCAGTTCAATGCAGAAAATGTGGGATTTTATTCAGCTGTGTGAAAGGGGCCCAAAACACCTGGAGGACCGAAGTTTGCCCATGCCTGATCTACACCATAAATGAGTTCGACGCTACTTTGACCTCCATAACTCAGTGCCGTGGAAACATGGAATTGGTAGTTTGAGAAGGCCTGAGCACTCTTTGGTGAAGAAGGCTAAAGACCTTGTAAAAGTATACCATCCATTATCCGATAACATTGAGCCATGGCAATTTAAAGTGGTGTCAAGCTGAATTCCTTCTGTAGCATTGATGCTCCCAAAGACTGAAGATCAAGATTCGAATTCCATTCAGCCATAGAAAAGCAGTACAAGTCACATTCTCTCAGCCTCAGAGGCAAACTCAGAGGGGAGGGGGCGAGAGTTCCATAGCCGGAGGGGGGGCACCACAGAGAAGGCCCTGTCTCTCATCCTCACCAAGTGTGACTACGATGGTGGTGGGACCGAGAGCAGGGCCTCTCTGGAAGATCTTAAAGTGCTTGATGGTGTATACCACTACTAATATGATATAATTATTATATATTTATATTACATGCAATATTACTAATAACATTACAATCTAATGGTATAGTACAATCTATATATATATATATATATATATATATATATATATATATATATAATTTTGTCATTTGGGAGTTGGGAGTAGTTCCTGGGATTATAGTTCAACGATGGAATTGAACCAAACTTGGCACACAGAACTCCCATGACCAACAGAAAATACTGGAAGGGTTTGGTGGGCATTGACCTTGAGTTTGGGAGTTGTAGTTCACCTACATCCAGAGAACACTGTGGACTCAAATAATGATGGATCTGGACCAAACTTGGCACAAGCACTCAATATGCCCAAATATAAACACAGATGGAGTTTGGGGGGGAATAGACCTTGACATTTGGGAGTTGTAGTCACTGGGATTCACAGTTCACCTACAATCAAAGGGCATTCTGAACCCCACGGACGACAGAATCAGGGCAAACTTCCTACACAGAACCCCCAGGACCGACAGAAATTACTTAAGGCTATCCAATCCAACTCCCTTCATCAGGGCAAGAAAACATAAATAAAGTCCTCCTGACAAAGAGCCATCCAGCCATAGATATAGATAGATGGATATGATTCACACACACAGAGATATAGTATCATAGATTTGAAAGGGACCCTTAAAGAAGGACAATAATATGTTCCATGTTCCAGAGTAGGCAAACCAGACAATCTCCACATCGACACTGACAAAGAAACAGCAAGAAATATTGTTTACCCACAAGCATAAAGAAATTACATATATTAGAAACCAACACTTTCTCATTCCCTTTATTTTCCAGATCAACAGACTGGGCCACAGCAACACATGGCAGGGGACAGCTAGTATAGTAATATTTAATAATGATATTGTACTATGCTAATAATATAATATATTTATGTATATATACCTTGTAAGCCGCGCTGAGACCCCTTTGGGGTGAGAAGGGCGGCATATAAATGTCGTAAATAAATAATAAACTTTTCTGATCTAATTTTGCCAAAGACAACCTTGTGATAGTGTTGACATAGGCCACAAAGGTGAAGGCACACAACAGGAAACCCAGGCCCCTTCCACACAGCTGAATAAAATCCCACATTATCTGCTTTGGATTATATGTCAGTGTGGGCTCAGATAACCCAGTTCAAAGCAGCTATTGTGGGCTTTTCTGCCTTGATTTTCTGGGCTATATGGGTGTATGGAGAAGCCCTCAGGTCTATCAACCCCCTTCCTGTTTGTTTGTGTCTCCCCTCGCCTCGCCCCGCCCCTCAGCGTTGAGTGGGAAGGAGAAGGAAGAGAGAGAGAGAGAGGGAGGGAGGTCTTCTCAGCGGGCCAGGAAGCCATTCCCTGAGGCGTCGTCATGGCGACGGGACGCGGCTGGATTTTGAGGCAACACCGCCTTGGGCCTCCAGGACCCCCCCAGGCTGTGCCTCGCGTTGAGGGGGGTCCTGCTATGGGGGACACCTTGGCTCCAGACAGGTATCTCTTGCTGCTTGTCTCCCCTGGTTTCTCTCAGGGGGAATTGCGGCTTATACACTGCCTTCTTGGCCCTATTGAGCAGGCATCTTCAACCTGAGGCTTTCCAGCTATTTGGGCCTCCAACTTCCAGAATTCCAGACCATTGAAGAGTGGCTAGGGCTTCTGAGAGTTGGAGGCCCACACAGCAGGAGGGCCACAAGTTGAGGATGCCTGAATTATAGGGAAAGGTTTTCCCCTGACATGAAGTCCAGTCCTGTCTGACTCTGGGGTGTGATCAGAGGCGACCCTAGGTAATTTTAGACGGTAATCAAAGAGTATTTGCCCCCCCCCCCAACCAACCAATCACTGATATATATTTTCTGTTTCTCGTGGGAGTTCTGTGTGCCATATTTGGTTCAATTCCATCATTGGTGGAGTTCAGAATGCTCTTTGATTGTAGGTGAACTATACATCCCAGTAACTACAACTCACATATGTCAAGGTCTATTTTCCCCAAAGAGCGCCCCTGGGCAAAATCAACTATACTGCAAATGCTTACTTTGCGTAATGGGTTGAGCCGCCCCTGGGTGTGGTGCTCATTTCCATTTCTAAGCCAAAGATAAATTAAATAATAATAATAATAATAATAATAATAATAATAATAATAATAATGCTTTATTTATACCTGCCCTATCTCCCTAGGGGGATTCTAAGCTGAAGAGCCGGCGTTATCCATAGACACCTCCAAGGTTATGTGGCCAGCATGACTGCATGGAGCACCGTTACCTTCCCACTGGAGCGGTACCTATTGATGTATTCACATTTGCATGTTTTCGAACTGCTAGGTTGGCAGAAGCTGGGGCTAACAGCGGAAGCTCACGCCGCTCCCCGGATTCGAACCTACGATCTTTCGGTCAACAAGCTGAGCAGCTCAGTGCCTTAACCCACTGCGCCATCGGGGGCCTGAATTATAGGTCTTGTCAAAGAGCCCTTCCGCACAGCCATATAACCCAGAATATCAAGGCCAGAAATCCCACAATACTGGCTTTGAACTGGGTTATCTATCCCAGTTATATCCTACCTTGTTCATGCCCAGCATTATTTTTTAAATTTTAAATTACTGCATTTGGCCCGGCCATAGGTTTTTAAATGCTTATTTGTTACTGTTATTGTTTATTTTTTGTTTATGTGATTTATATTTTTTTTTTGTATTGATTGTTTTTGCTATTGTTTTGGTTTATTGATGTACCGTGGACTTGGCCTCATGTAAGCCACACCAAGTCCCTTGGGGAGATGGTAGTGGGATATAAATAAAGTATTATTATTATTATTATTATTATTATTATCTGAGTCCACACTGCCATATAACGAGCCAGTGTTTCACCTTAATAATAATAATAATAATAATTATTATTATTATTATTGTTATTATACCCTGCCATCCTCTCCCCAAAGGGGACTCGGGGCGGCTTACATGAGGCCAAGCCCAACAGTACATTACAACAAAATAAAACCAAAACAACAAAATAAATATCACAATTAAATAAATAAAAAAACATAAGACTGCAATAAAACAATGCAAAATAATACAATGGAAAATCAATCTCAAAGGGCGGCCACATGTGCGAGATAAAATGATAAAATTCAGGATGAGATAGGAATTAAAGAAAAAAAATTTGTATGGGAGACGCTCATAGGAGACGGAGTAGTGGAGACAGGCCTTCAAACAGGTGGGGGGGGGGGAGTTGCAATATGGGGACAAACATCATGGGAGGAGCAACAAAAGAAATTATCTGATCACTCTCCAAAAGCTCAACTAGCATAGCAAGATAAATTAAAAATATACTAGTTAAAACCCATGTAATGTCCTATTCCTTTATTCCGTGAAACAAACCAATTGCCGAAGGTCTGCTATATATAGTAGTTCACATATTCCACATTACAATGACTGTCAGTCTACTGATCTTCTTTGGGAAGGCCTGCTTCCAAAGGAAGGTTTTTACTTGCTTCCAAAATGACAACAGTGAGGGCTTCGTACTTACCTGTTTGGCCAACAAATTTGGCTTGTTGTGGAAACAAGGATTGGTGATAACGCTTTATCGGAGATGGCTTTCCCTCATGATGACTCTTTCAGGAGAGAATTCCCTTTCCAAGGAGTAGATTTCTCTAACTTTTTGTTGCCTCACCCCTGTTCTTAACTATGAGTTGTTTGTTAGTCAGATGTTTGTAACTCGGGGACTGCCTGTATAACACAATCTAATAAAATGTAAAATAAAACAAATGTATTTTTAAATAAAAAAACATTAAATATCTGTGAGTGGATCTAAAGTTAAAATACAATAAACTGTCCTCTACAAATTCCCACCCCAAATCTCATCCTCAAGAGATCTGATGGCAAAGCAATGGCTTGACTTGCCAGTGAAAGGAAAACCAGGGATGGGGCCACCCTGGTCTCTATTAGGAGGGACTTCCAAAGTCTGGGAGCAGCCACCAAAAAGGCCCTCTCTCATAGTCCACAAAACACGCTTGTGCAGGTGGTGGGAGAGAGAGAAACTGCATGATACGTGTCTACACTGGCCATATAATGCAGCTTCAAATTGCATTATATAGTAGTATACAAGTTAAACAATACACAGGGGGATCGTTAGATGCTGGATAACTGTAGTTTATGGTTGCTTGAGAGTTCATGTTAAAAATAGGCCTATACCCCCACACTCTACTATACCATAAATTCTGTATTGACTTGAAATTGAAAGATTAAAAGCAAATGAAGTCAAATACAAATGTAATGCAACATCATAATAAAATGCAATGTTATTATTAAAAGCTTTTAAAATTTAAAGTATTATTTCTTTAGGGTTTTTTTTTGTTAGTTGCTTAAGAGTTCCAGTTGCTTGTGTTCTGGTTAACTGGGAGTTTACTGTGGCCCTTTCTACATTGCCATTGAATCCAGATTATCAAAACCGATAGCCCACATTATCGGCTTTGAACTGGATTATATGAATCTACACTGCCATATAATCCAATTCAATGCAGATATGTGGCTATGTGGGCTATATGGCCATGTTCTAGAGGCATTCTCTCTTGACGTTTTGCCTGCATCTATGGCAAGCATCCTCAGAGATAGTGAGGTCTGTTGGAACTAGGAAAATTGGGTTTATATATCTGTGGAATGACCAGGGTGGAACAAAGAACTCTTGTCTGTTGGAGCTAGGTGTGAATGTTTCAACTGACCACCTTGATTAGCATTTGATGGCCTGGCAGAATAAGATGTATGCTACTGCCTTTTTCTGAATACAGTTTATGTAGGAAAAATGTTGTACATCCAAACTTTTGATAAGCTATCGCCATTAGAATTTTATTTCATTTATTTAAGCAAAACATTGGCCTTTCTTAGTGAAAAATTTTGTATTTGACTGGCAAAGCAACATCGTTATGAGTTATGAATGTGTGATTTTGATGTCAGAAGATCTATTAATTCTAATTATGAGTAAAAACAAGCATCCCATGGGTTTTGTAGCCCGATCTGTATAATAAGCAACAGCCTCCAATGAGTTAGGAGTATCATCTTCTTTTCTGCCCACACTCTCTTTTCAATACATTACATGTAGAAGTAGCAGCTGAAGATTTGTCTGCCACATATTTGCAAGGAAAAATATTTCTTAATTGTTTTTAGAGAGACACAGGAGGAAAATTGGCAACTAAACAATAATATTGGGATGTCAATTCTAGTTGGCCGGAAAAGATTTAAATAAGCTATTGCAATAATCAATACGCCCAACAGTTTTCTGTTACTATTTTTTTTTGCCCTCATAGTGCTTCATCAAAACAGTCTGCTGCTTTGGCTGTACAACTCTCTAGAATCAAAAGGATGCACATTCGAGGACAAGGTAGCAAGTCAAGTTCAGTAGTCAACTTTGACAGGTAAAGTACATGTTGCTTTACATTAAAATATGATGTGTGATTATTCATGTGTCTCACTCTCATTGAGCTCAATATTTCTTGGTCTCCTATGGAGAAACTTAGCATCATAGTCTTAAAGTTATGTGAAAGAAGTGGATTGATAAGACCTCCTGTTTAAAATTACTTGGATGGGCTTATATTATTTCAAGTATTTTGTAGCTGTGCATATGTAAAATGTATTAGGGAAAACTATGTTAAAATATGGCAGAGCATCCAAAAACATAAACATGATACAAAAGTTGAGCATCAGCTCATTAGCGAGCAAAGCGTGAAGTGCCATGTGATGTGGCTGTAATGAATTCAGAGCTTAGGAAGCAGAGTCCAATCTTTTAAAAAATCGCAAAAGGTTTGTTTACAATAATAAAGGACTAACTACATTACTCCATGGTAAAGAACTGGGTCTGAGCTACTCTAATATCCATCTCTTACAAGGTTTCAAGAGAGGGAAAAACTCAATCACTACATATCTGACACACAAGCAGAGAGAGATCTCAAAGCACACAGCACATACTCTCCATACTAAGGTGTGAGAAGGCAGAAGTCAGATTCAAAAAGCTTGTAGTAGAAAAATATCCATTTTAAACAACTAATCAGAATGAGAGCAGAAAGAGAGAAAGAGAAGAAAAAGATACATTCCCAACTGTCTTTCATGAGACATGGGGGAAGGGAAACCCTTTGTCTATACTAACCTAACTAAACTGTCCCTCACTGAAGACTTGAGCCTTGGACAGTGTGGGGTTGAATCCCAGCAATATGCAGGCATACTTGGGGTGGGGTGGGCTGTCATGGGTTTTGTGATGTATCTATTTCCTTTGAGACTCTGGAGAGTCACAAACTCCTATTACCTCTCAAAAATATTGTGGTGATGCCAAACATTTTATGTAGCTTAAATGGCCAGTAGCAGTAGTGGAGATTTAGTATTGACCATAATGTCACAGGATTCAGATGTTTCCCTCAAGCAGGCTTGATTTCAAGACAGAAAAGCTTCAATTCACTTTCTATTGTGAAATAAGGACTTATAGGTAAAAGGAGGCCTCTACAAGGCTAAAAAAAGGTATGTGGGGATCCTAACCCCAGAATATGTGGACTTGGCTTGTGCATTCAGAGTAAACCTGACCTGTTTCATGTCTCATCTTTCGGTGAGGGTCCTGATCATTTTTTGGGAGCCTCCCAAGATTGGGAGGGCAGATATCTGTTTTCGCTCTGGAGTGTTGAAAGATTTGTTTTCTATTGGCCCATTATGGGGGGCGGGCTTCCCAGGATCCCCTTCCTGTCATTTTAGGTATTTAAGCTGTTTTAATGTAGAGGACAGGTGTTCAGCTGCAGACAGGTGAGCAGTTTAAGGAGGCTTCTTACCTCTAGAGGAGACGTGCTCGGCTGTAGATAGGCGTGTATGCTGGGCCTCCATACCACACAATCTCTCTCTCTTTCCAAGGCAAGGAAGCAAGTTCTGACTGTCTTACTCTAGAGGAAGCACTTGACTGCAGGCAGGCGAACACGTTGGGCCTGCACGCCACACACACACTCTTTTCAAGGCAAGGAGGCATGGAGCTCCACGTGTTCATGAAAGCAGAGGAGGAGCTGGTGTTCAGCTCCTGCTTGCTTTCCCGTTGAGCCAGTTTTTGTGCCGGGGGCCCCCTTCCTGTTACCTGCTTCCGAAGGTGCCGCAGGTACCGAAAGAAATGGGATCTGCTCACAACCCTAATGTGGACCAGTTGTTAAGAAATGTTACAAACCATTTCCCACAAAAAAGTTGGGGGCAGGGGAAATGAGAAATCTAGAGAGGCACAAAAGCAGCCCTGAGGTGGCCCATGGTCTGCATTTGGTTTACCCTTACTTTACATGAATCTGAAGGTCAGAGTGAATTCTTTTGAGGTTTGTTCATCAAAAACAAACTTAAATGCTAAATTACCTTATTTCACCAGATCTAAGACACACTTTTTCCCATTTTAGGGGTTCCAAAAATGGGCTGTGTTGATGGTTTGGGACCCTAAAAAGGAAAAAAAGATGAAGTTATCTTAGAGGTTTTGATTTGTTTTTAAAGCTGGGTTGTCTCCAAGAGAGAGGAGGCAGAAGGCCTCCAGCCCCAACAGCTCTGCCAGCCCCTACTATTTTGTCATCAGCTTAGCCAGCCAACTGCTTGTAAGTGTGGCTGAGATCAGCCCCTTCTCAGGTCTCCCAGGCTCCTCAACAGGCCCATAGACTTTGGAAAAATGGATTTCTGCAGAGAAGCTGACTTCTGTGTTGAACTAAAACAAGGTATTGTGCATGCAGAGAAAATACATGATGCAATATTCTCAGAAAATTATTTTTTCCAAAATTTAAGCTTCAAAATGGGGGTTGCATAATATGTAGAATTGATGATGTCATAGATAAGGTGAAATTCAGTAATTTTGAAATTATGGTTTAATAATTACATACTAATACTGATCCCTCTGCAAGCTTCCTGTATATGTTGCAGGAAGTGAATCTGGAAAAAGAATTCAAGATTACAGTCCACTAGAACAGAAAGTTCTTTTACTTTCACTAGTTTTGGATTATTACACAGTTTTGCATTTTTATAAGGTAGAAACCTTTGCTTTCCCAGGTCTCATCAAATCTGTAGAGAGTCCTTGAGAAAGTGCCTAGATGGTTTCTGCATTCTGGCACCAAAACAGCTTGAATATGCTTAACATTTTATCAGTTCATTTAAATGTGTATTTGATATCAGAATATCAAAAGATGAACACCCCCTTGAGAGTTTCATTCATATGGCAAACAACTTCCTAAATGGGTGCTTCTCTGAGACTCCTGTCCTCTTTGCCAAGGGGGAGAGAGAGGCATAAACCTCCATTCTTCTCCTCTCATCTTGAAAAGGTGGAAGCAGCCATAGGTAAGCATAACCTGCTGACATAAGAAAATGGGCTAATCCTTAACATTCTTTGATCTGCTAGATATGTTAGATAGGAAGAACCAAGATAGTGGAGAAGTAACAGGGCTCTTACCACAGCTTGAGAAGAAACCATCAATCCGAGCTAATCTTCCCATCTAGAACTATCTTTTCAGCCTGAATGGTTTATTCAGTCAACCGGGGTCTTAGAGGAGACCTTGAGGGGCTGAATTCAGCGTGATCTTGGTGAGAAAAGAGGAAAAGAGGAGAGAAAAGAGGTAGAGCGCTGCCATAGCCGCCATTACATCACGGCTAGATGGTGCTCCATCAGTGCCTTTGCCAGTCACCAACCTTACCATCGTTGATGATCAGTCTAAGAGGGCCCATGTCTTCTTCTTAACTGCCTTTTTCTGCCTTCGAACATCTTTGGGGCCGGTCATTGCTTGTCAGTTGGCTATTACTGTTATTGCCGCAGCTGCCTGAGGCCCCTTTCTCACAGCCCAATAGCCTCAGAATCTTGAGCCGCCATCAACCACCATCACAGTGGCTACTTCTGCTCCCCCAGGGCCAATAGTTGGCTTTTGCTGTTAGCGATGCTGGGACCTTCTCCCATTTGCCGCCAACACTGTGGCCACTATTCATCATTCTGATAAATTAGCCAGCATTTACCAACATTGCTGTCTGCCCCAGGGGACTGTACATCTTTGGCTGGTTCGGGGCTTAATTTTTGACAATCTGAGGGATGTTTTTATCTTATTTAACCCAATGATTATAAGACCTAAGGGGTAAAAGGTCATGGGTCAGGAGCCATTGTGTGGCCATTGTTATTGAAATTACACTGATAAGGCTTTATGAAAAACTCGCCAGCACCCTGACATTGGCATCAGTGACTCCAGGCTGATATGAGAGGCTTCATTATTACTGGAGGCCTCTCGCATGCCTCAGCTAACATGGCTGCCGTCTGCTATTGCTGTTCCTGCTCTTGGTTGCTATTACTCCTGTCTGCTCCATCGTCCCAGTGCCTGATTGCTCAGATACCCTCTTGCCACTCTTCTGAATCGCCATCATGGTGTGCGGAGACTGATTCTTTCGGAGGCTTATCAACATCTACCATTGCTGCTGGGTTCCCTATAAGCACTTTACACCTACCTCTTGGCCGTACCATCGCCCCCGGGTGCATTTGGAACTATCCTCCATTGTGGCTCCCTCAACACCCACCATCTTTGATGACAACATAGGAAGACTGGTCTATGGGTCTGGGCTACTTTGGGAGTGGAAAGGTGCCTTCACCTTGCACTTATTTTTATATACTACCAATCTGATAACTTGTAAGCCAATCTAATAACTTGTACAAATAACTTGTAAGCCACTCTGTGTCCCCTCCAGAGTCAAAAGGGCGGCATATAAATGTCGTAAATAAATAAATAAATAAATAAAATATGTTCCAAAAAGCCATCCATTCTTTAGGACCATAGGAGACTTACTAGTGCATAAAATGTGTTAAATTACCTATTTCCTTCTTTATTTTGTGTTTGTGGGCTGTGTTGGAAAGCTTCATTGTATGTGTGTGTGTGTGGGAGGGCATTCTTTCTTAACTTTTTTACAAAGGCAGTTTTTCTCAGACTGGATTTATAGAGTTGTAAGGCACATCTTTTAACTTTCTCTGTGGGTGGCATTAACTTCTTTCTCCCATCCTGCTGCTTGTTTTTTCTGTTCACATAAGTGAAACACTTTCTCATCTTCATTCTCCAGAATGCCTCCAGAGATATTGTTGAAGATATTCTCCTATCTGGATGTTGAGTCTTTGCTGTGTGTTGGCTGTGTGAAGAAAGAGTTTTACCATCTGTCCAATGACAAGTAAGAGATGGGGATGCAGTGATTTTAACTTGACAGCAGTATTATCTAAATTCAATGAGCATTTACATTTCTGATTATTGTGTAGAAGGAATGCAGTACATATTATAGCCGTTTATAAGAGAGAACATGTTTGGGTAGTGTTCTGAAGCACTGTTACTGCATACATTCATTTGGGTGTAGGCAGTCCCTGCATGAGAGACAGAGCAGGTATGATAACATAGGTCAAGGTGGGAATTTCCATTGTTTCTTGCTTTATTGTGGAGGGCCCCACAATTCCCATACATTTGTAGCAGGGGATAATCAACTACATGTACTGATTGGAGAACCATTATGGTTTAAAACTGGAACAGGTTGAGAATTCCTTATCTGGAAATCCAAAATTGTCCACATGAGCTTTTGTTACACCTTTGCTTTCTGATTATTCAAGGTATATAAACTTGTTTCATTCCCAAATACATTACAAATTTAGTTTGTAAAATTTACCCTCAGGCTATGTGTTTGAGGTATATATAAAATGTAAATGAATTTGGTGTTTAGGATTGAGTCCCATTTCTTATTATGGGACTCAATCATATATGCAAACACAGGTATTCCAAAATTTAAGAAACCCTGAAAACATCTCATTCCAAGCATTTTGGATGAGAGATACATGACCTGCAATTATAAATAAATATATTAATATGGTTTCCCATTGCAATGTATGCATTTCCACCATTTCTGTACGATTAGGACTGAAAAATGAACGAATGATCATTCTGATGCATAGAAGTACATAAGCATCATGTTTATTCTTATATATTATTTATTTATTTATTTATTTAAAACATTTATATCCCATCCTTCTTACCCGGGGGGGGGGGGGCTTAGGTGGTTCACAACCGACAATTATTAGATGCCAAACAAACAGTAATATTAAAATCACAGTTAAAACATTAATTGAAACAGTAAATTAAAAGATTCATTGTTTACTATAGATTTCAATTAGTTGCTTTTCAGACATTTATTTCTAGCAAGCGAATCAACAAAAATGTTTTAATTCATGGCTGCTTGGATGAGAGAAGAGGGAGACACAGATTTAACAGGAATTAGTAATTCATATCTCTTTGATTTGAGAGTAATTCAGGCACAGGTTCTAAACTTTCTGTGTGCTTAAAGTATCAATCTTAGGGCCCTTCCACACAGTCATATAACCCAGAATGTAAAGGCAGAAAATCCTACAATATCTGCTTTGAACTGGGTTATCTGAGTCTACACTGCCATATATTCCAGTTCAAAGCAGATAATGTGGGATTTTATTCGGCTGTGTGGAAGGGGCCTATAATTAACAACAACAACAACTTCATATTGGTATCCCGCTTCCATCTCCCTTAAGGGACTTGGGGCAGCTTACATGGGGACAAGCCCGATCAATACAGTTTAAATATAACGCATTAAAATCAATAAAACAGCAATATAAAATAAAACAACAGCATAACACAATATAAAAACAACCATCAAACAGACAACCAGTAGCCTGAAATAGCAAAACAGTTCTGGGCTTGGGGTGGGGATGGGGGGGAGGCATTACAAATCAGTTGTGAGAACAGGGCTGATAAAGTGCAAGTGCCAGATGACAAAAATTGAGGATAAAGAGCAATATGAGGTGGAACACTATATCTCTGGGCATGAGGTTAGTAGTAAAGTGTCGGGATTGGATTTTTGGTCATAGCTGGGGGCCAAAATATATGCTGTCTGCACTGAGTATTAGCTTCTTTTGATATTATACTTCAGTTTGTTAATTGTTTGACATTATGGAACTTGCTTTCCATAGAAACTCTCCAGATATTGCTTAGGTTTTTAGTTTCATTTGGTTTGTAGGTGGTCATTTGAGACCACAAAAGGCAAATACCATATTCTGTAAGTAACATCATATTGGGTCCCGTTTGTTATAGATTTCTAGTTCTTTATGCTTTCTTAAAATTAGTTTTATTATATTACATTGATGTTAGTCATTTTTGTGCTTTTTAAAAAAAGATGGTGGGGCACAAAATTGAAAGACTGAATGAATAATAAGGAAGCTTTTTCCTCCAGCAATCAAATTTAATGCATCAGCATAACAGAGTGTTACATAAAATTGGGTGGTGAGTGCTAATTAACTGAACTTGTAGCTGTCCAGATTCATTAATATCAAGGAAAAGATTGCCATTGGCACTGTACGAAGATAGATTCTGCCTTCCCTTTAAATAAAAACTTGGCAGTCTTTAAGTCTTTCGTAGTCTTTTGGTCATGACAAAAATCATCCTGGGGGGGAAAAAGTGCTCTCCAATTCTTTTAGACTAGAAATTGATTTGCAATTATATGTAATAACGGTTTTGAAAGATTTCAGTGTTATATACATCTGAATTTGACAATGGAAAAATTAATGCAAAAGCGGTGGTTGTCTTTCTTTTAGTGCCATTTGGTTCAAAATATACTCTGAGTCATTGCTACCAACAAGGAAAAAGTGGACAATCAAATCTGTTGATGAATCAGCTGCTGAGGAACCAGTAACCTGTCTAAACCTTCCAGAGTTCCAGAACAGAGAGTCAGGATATTGGAAGAAGGAATATATTGCGAAAAAAATAGCTGCTGGCAGAGCAGATATAATTCGACTTCTGAAACCAATAAATACCTATACTGGGCTTCCACTTAAAACAAAACAAGCTGTCAGGTAAACCATGTTAAAAATATAGCATCCATAAAATATTTTCTTTTTTAAAGAGCCTACATATTTTCTTTATGGACAAATGAGGAAATATTTCAGGTGTATGTACGTTTACTGACATTTGATTAATGTTTAATTATGAAAAATAATCAGTTTTATAATTGTATATTTCTCATTTGTTTCCTGGCTTTGATCTTGCTCCTAGAGATGATGTTTTGGTAGAAATGAGCTTTCTCCATTTGAGACATGCAACACAAACATACATACATGCAAGGAACATACACACATTATATTATAAATACACCAGGAACTGCAGTTCACATATTGATAATCTAAAACTGACTTCCCTTTCATTTCTTTTTGACAGGGTCTCTGGTTTGAGATGGGTGATCATACTCAAAGACAGACATGGGAAGGAGTATGTAATGGATCAGGCAGACGTTTCATTTAATGAGACTTCTGTTATTTTATCTTGGTGTTGTGCACACTGGCCTTGTTTAGAAACATTGTCAAGTTTGCAGTTATGTGGCGTGACCCCAGTGCTTCTGAGTAAAAGTAAAGTTCATCTTAAGAATGGGTAAGTTTAAAATCAAATTAATTATTAGTTTTAATAGGGTTAACTAATGGAGAACAAACCAGTGCAATGCCATTGTGTGTAGTGTTTTTCTCCCTGTTTGAACGATGCCTACTATATTGTTAAGATAGAAGGAACACAAAGAAATGTGTGTCTGCAGCTGCCTATGGTTACAACAGCATGTTGCTGGCAGCTACGGTCTCAGGAAGTTCCTGGATACAAGGAAATAGTATTGATTTACTCCTATGTGGTTTTCATCTCACTTCAGTCACTGTATGTGCTTTAGGAAAATTAGACCACAGGCATTGATTATTTGCTGCTGTGTTCCTTTAGCATTGCAGGTAGAAGAGAAGAATGTTTTGTGTTAAGTAAAATTGATCACTCCATCTGTAATAATTGCTGTGTTGTTTCTATAATTTGATCTAAGTAGGACGAAAGTTTTCCTTTACTGTATTATAAAGTCATGGAGAAGCTGAAAAGTTATTAAATTTTCATTCTTTGTTCCACTAATTTGATATCCTTTGAAAGACCTTGGCGACGTTCCTTAATTTGTGAATATGAGCTGGGTAATTTGACTGAAGAGGCAGAGGTGATTGGTTCTGATGCACTTGTTGTTCTTTACCGTCTTGACCAAGGACTTCTTTTGGGAGTGTGGAAAGTAAGTTCACTTTCTGTATAGGATGTTTATGGGATTTTAATGGGTTTTTTTGTTGTATTTCTTCATATGTAAATGTAAAATATATATTCTACTTTATAGTCCACCTTCTTTTTTACAAATAAAATAAAATAAAGTTAATTATAATATAATTACATTGAAGTTTCTTATGCCATCTTTCAGTCTGACCGCTAATGCTATTTTTTTAATCTTGGTTTTTAAGAATATGTTTAAAATATTTCCTTTAACAATTCTGTATTTCTTCAATTCTAAGATGCACCTAAACATTTCTAAAAATGGGGTGCATCTTAGAATCTCAGGTGTATCTTATGTATATTTTGTTGTTGTTAGTGGAATTGAAGTTAGGGTGCACCTCACAATCGATGGTGTCTTACCGTTGAAGAAATATGGTATATGTTTAGTTAAGATTTATTTTTTGGTTTCTGAAGGACCTTGTAAAATCACTTCTGAGTACTCCTTACCTAGGAAAACCCTGTAAAATTCGTACGATTGTCATACATTCTCAGGTGTTTTGAAGGCACATATACACAGTGGGGTTATATAAGTTCGAAACGTTCCTAAAGAAAGTAATATCAGTACTTTAAAGTAAAAATAATAACTTGAGCATCTGAAGCTCTGTACATGGATGGCTTTGTTGTTGTTCATTCGTTCAGTCATTTCCGACTCTTCGTGACCTCATGGGCCAGCCCACGCCAAAGCTACCTGTCGGCCATCACCACCCCCAGCTCRTTCAGAGTCAAGTGAGTCACTTCAAGGATGCCATCCATCCATCTTGCCCTTGGTCGGCCTCTCTTCCTTTTTCCTTCCATTTTCCCCAGCATCATTGTCTTTTCTAAGCTTTCCTGTCTCCTCATGATGTGGCCAAAGTACTTCAACTTTGTCTCTAATATCCTTCGCTCCAATGAGCAGTCGGCCTTTATTTCCTGAAGTATGGACTGGCTGGATCTTTTCGGATGGCGAGCCTTGTCTAATTGTAAAAGCATACTTTAATGTGAAACTTCAGCCCTAGTATGCTCATARCAGCCCAAGTTTTCGGGTGATATGCCTCTGCTACAATTTCCTTTAGTTTTCTGGGTGTCATTGGAGGTTCCCTTGCCACAGATGCAGGCAAAATATCAGGAAAGAATGCTTCTGGAACATGGCCATACAGCCCAGAAAACGCACAGCAACCCAGTGATTCTGGCTATGAAAGCRTTTGACAACATGCTCTCTTGGTTGTTAGGCTTCAGTTTTCTGGGATGTACAAGTGATGTTTACCACACTTGCTATATATCAAGGTGTAATGATACACCTCTTGATCCACAAGGTGACTCAAGAGATACAACTTAAAGTCCAGTTTAAATCAGTGTATTTTTTTATTGGGGATTATAGACTTTGGAACAGAATTATAGATTCTGGAGCAGAAAGAAGGATGCGTTTCTGCTCTCTTTAAATAACGTTGGGAAAAATAAATACCTTGGGCTAAAAGTCTGGCCTCTATAATTCAGTTTTTTCCTTTCTTTTAAAAGAAAGGTGGCATTGCTTTTGTTATGACAAGCCTCCATTACCACCAGCTCATTGAAAGAAGCATCCTTGGCAGCGCTACAATGTAAGTACATGGTTTATGAAGTTTCACTGGGGTTTATTCATCAAAATATAAAAGAAGGAAAACATAGGATTTTGAACCTTTGAAACATGAATGTGAATTTCGTTAGATAGTATTTATGGGAACTGGGTTGCAAATCACAGCAGTGGTGATTATGGTTTTTAATGATGTAATAGTTTGGATTATATTATTTAGTGTGTAGGCCTAATGCCAGAGTGTAGTCATGTAGTTTCTAGATAAAAGGAAATAGTATTGATTGACTCCAGTCGATGGCAGAGTGTAGTCAGATGTGTTGGTTCTTAAGGAGAGGTTCAGTGCCTGGGTCTAATTTTTGCTCATTTCTAAATATCACTCCAGATAATGGAGTCAGATCTGATCAATGGATTTGACTTTTGCACGACTAGAGAGGAGTCATTTCTTGTACCTGAAACTATTTTTAAGGATGGCTCTTTCAAGGGAGAAAGATTTATCTATATTAGTAAGTTTCAAAAATAGCTGAAAATAGCCAAGGACCTCCATACACTAAATAATGATAAGACAATGAAAGTTAAAAGGTTTGGTGTACAAAAACAGCTTGGAAAAGTGATTTGTTAGCCCCTCTTTTGCCCCATATAGCATGATGTTTGCTCAGCTTGTTTTGCACCCTCCCTATTTTTATTTTATTTATTTATGTATGTATGTGATATTTCAGGAGACATACTGAAGTCCCAAATAAAGCTATCTTGGATGACATTGATCCAGAATATGGCATGCATGGCTATCAACTGCATATTGAATTACACAGCAGAGGAAATACTTATATGTGTTACACTTTCCGTGGTTTGTTTTGTAGAAGAGGTACTACTTGAACTATATGCCTGATTACAACAATTCTAAGTCAAAGCTGGGCAATTTCTGTGTGGCTGGGAGTCCTTTTTCTGGCTAGCTGATCTAAGGGGAAATTGGTAGATTTTTTTTATCAGTAACATTAAAACATCAGTGAATAAAATTGATATGTCATGTTTAATATAAACATATATAAACCATTTTTATAAGACAACAATAGCATTTGGAAATAAAATCTCTCAGCCAACTAAGAATTAGTCACTCTATTAAAAGATTAATTTGTTCAGTGCATTAAATATTGTTCCATTAATTACAATCTGTTTTGAATTTGAAAATGCGACAGAAGTATCAAATTAAAGGCTTTCTATTTCAGTTGAAAGAGTTCTTGCTCTGCTTCTAATATTTTATTTCTAGGTATGTAAGCATGAGTCAAAATTACACTGTATCTTCATATTGAAATTGTAGTAAATTTTAAAATGTCATGCTCAGTCTGCATTTTAAAACAGTTAAAGATTGAATCTCCACAAAGTGTATAGGTACTATGTTTTTAAAGTATGACTTTACGACTAATCCTTTTCTCTTACTGGCTTTTTGTCTTTGGACTGCACAGCTTGGATCAGGCATGAGCAAACTTGTGCCCTCCAGGTGTTTTGGACTTCAATTCCCACCATTCCTAACAGCCTCTACCCCGCTAAAGCAGTTGAGGGGGCAAAAGAAAGGGGCCTGAGGCTGTTAGGAATGGTGGGAGCTGAAGTCCAAAACACAAGGAGCGCCGAAGTTTGCCCATGCCTGACGTAGATGCTCAAAATTGCTTGTATGGAGAAGGCGGTAGAAAGCTACAGTGTGAATGAGGAATTCTAGATGTTCCACATTGTGCTTTGGCAGGTGACCATTTAGAAACTTTTGTGATATGTAACTTTGGCCTGGTATCCTGAATGAACAGCAGGAGTAACATAGCATGGTTCAGCAACATGATTTTTTCACTTTGTTGTGCAATTTGTTTTGTTTTAGGGGTCATATTCTTCACAATAATAATGTTTAAAGCTCTGTTATATAGGACAGCAGTTCCCAAACAGTATTCTGCAGAACCCCAGGGTTCCATGAAAGTATTGTAGGGGTTCCATGAAAAAAAATTAAAAATATTTTTTAAAACAACTTTTTAAAAAGTTCATGCCAGGTATGATGACAATTTCATGATTTTATCAAAATTCATTGTATCTCTTCTTTAATAACAAACATTTGAATTTCTTTGTTTTCAAACTTACTTTATACAAAACACCCAGGCAATAGGAGTAGAGGAAAAAAGGAAGAACTTTGTGGGTTCACAGGATTACATTGTAAACATTTAAAATAATTTGATAATTCTATAGAGGATGTAGGATTAAATGATAAGTCAAGTTTCAAGAGTTTATTTTTTAGAACCTTGGACTAGTGCAGTCTTCAGTAAAGAGAAGTGGAAGGCAGGTCTCAGTGGGCTTTTTTCATGTCAGAAGTGACTTGAGAAACTGTAAGTCACTTCTGGTGTGAGTGAATTGGCTGTCTTCAAGGACATTGCTCAGGGGATGCTCAGATATTTTGCCTTCCTCTGGGAGGCTTCTCTCATGTCCCTGTGTGGGAAGCTAGAGGTGACAGACAGGCCCGTAGCCAGGATTTCAATTGGGAGGTGGTGGGGCTGAGTCTGAGCGAAAGAGGGTCTACCCTAGCAAACCTTTTGTATCATTGCCCCAATACCCCCATGCATATGGGATATATTGAGTATGGTGATCAGATGACTAAACAACAGTTTAAATAATGCACCAGTAAGGCCTTTTCGCGAACCACCATGAAAATTTCGGGGGGGGGGGGCTGAAGCCCCCCCCCCCCCCCCCCCCCCCCGGCTACTTGCCTGGTGACAGATGAGAGCTCACCCCATTCACGGATTCGAACCGCTAATCTTCAGGTCCACAGTTCAGCCAGCACAAAGCACCCATTGTGGCACTGATCTCAGTGAGTGACATCACGCTATTTTCGAAGTTCATTCTTAACATTGTTCCACAGGCAAAACATGGCTCTGTTCAACTTGTTCAGGTACCACAAACTCATGATCAATGAATTGGAACTAGTCTGAATGAATTAAAGGAATTGTATTAATTCAGACAGTATCAATTCACCTAGATCAGTGGTTCTCAACCTGTGGGTCTGCAGATCATAGAATCATAGAGTTGGAAGAGATCTCATGGGCCATCCAGTCCAACCCCCTGCCAAGAAGCAGGAATATTGTATTCAAAGCACCCCCTGACAGATGGCCATCCAGCCTCTGTTTAAAAGCTTCCAAAGAAGGAGCCTCCACCACACTCCGGGGCAGAGAGTTCCACTGCTGAACGGCTCTCACAGTCAGGAAGTTCTTCCTAATGTTCAGATGGAATCTCCTTTAGACCTTCAACTCCCAAAAAGCCTAACAGCTGGTAAACTGGCTAGGATTTCTGAGAGTTGTAGGCCAAAACACCTGTGGACTCACAGGTTGAGAACCACTGACCTAGAGACCATCATTGCACCATCATTGCATGCTTGTTGTTGTTCATTCGTTCAGTCGTCTCCGACTCTTCTTGACCTCATGGACCAGCCCACGCCAGAGCTCCCTGTTGGCCGTCACCACCCCCAGCTCCTTCAAGGTCAGTCCAGTCACTTCAAGGATGCCATCCATCCATCTTGCCCTTGTCGGCCCCTCTTCCTTTTTCCTTCCATTTCCCCCAGCATCATTGTCTTCTCCAAGCTTTCCTGTCTTCTCATGATGTGGTCAGAGTACTTCATCTTTGCCTCTAATATCCTTCCCTCCAATGAGCAGCCAGGCATTATTTCCTGGAGTGTCTGGACTGGTTGGATCTTCTCGGGGTCCAAGGCACTCTCAGAATTTTCCTCCAACACCACAGTTCAAAAGCATCTATTTTCCTTCACTCAGCCTTCCTTATGGTCCAGCTCTCACATCCGTAGGTTACTATACCATGGCTTTGACTAGGCGGATCTTTGTTGCCAATGTGATGTCTCTACTCTTTACTATTTTATCGAGATTGGACATTGCTCTCCTCCCAAGAAGTAAGCGTCTTCTGATTTCCTGGCCACAGTCTGCATCTGCAGTAATCTTTGCACCTAGAAATACAAAGTCTGTCACGGCCTCCACATTTTCTCCCTCTATTTCCAGTTGTCAATCATTCTTGTTGCCATAATCTTAGTTTTTTTTGACGTTTAGCTGCAACCCGGCTTTTGCGCTTTCTTCTTTCACCTTGATTAGAAGGCTCCTCAGCTCCTCCTCGCTTTCGGCCATCAGGTGGTGTCATCTGCATATCTGAGGTTGTTAATGTTTCTTCCAGCAATTTTCACCCCAGCTTTGCATGCTATTTGCAGATAATTTCTCTGTACACGCAAAAGAGGCCTGATAGAGATTTCCAAATGAATTGTTCATTTCATGTTGGAAATGCTGGCAATTGGGCCAATGTGATCCAGTAAGGCTTTTGTTTTTGTTGCAATAATAATGTTGAAAACATTGTTTTGACACCATTGTGTCTGGAGTACTGTCATTGTTTTTTGTTCATCACAGAGAAAAAATCCACTTAAAATCTGATTTCTGCGTCCTGCAGGATTCTGGGGTTTGTAGTTTAGTGAGGCTGTTAAAAGCTTATCCCAAAACTACAAACCCCATAATTCTGCAGGGGGCAGAAACTGGATTTTAAGTGGATTTTTTTTCTAGAGTGATGAGGCCCTAAATGAGCTGTTGGAATTTAAAACACATCTGAAGACCTGTGTCTGCCGGCAGACCTACCCAGTCAGTTTTAACACTGAATTTAAACTCAAATCTTGTGTTCACTATATTTTAATCTTTTATCTGTTTATTTTAATATATGTATTTCATAGAAATAAAATTATGATGATAATTATTATTTTTATTGTTATTATTATTATTATTACAGATTATATTAAAAATGGATATATGAGGCTTGCCGTAATAAGCTACAAAAACCAAAACCAACATCTACCTCTTGTTGGAAATGTTGGATTGGCTTGGAGGGTAGATGCATTTGAAGGCAACATTGAGGTAAAGTATAATGAATCTGTTACATTCAAAATACAGATAGTCCCTGAGTTACAAACATCAGACATACAAATGACTCATAGTTAAGAACAGGAAGAAGATTAAGTATGCAGGCCTCACAACCTCTGAGGATGATGCCATAGATGCAGGCGAAATGTCAAGAGAGAATGCTTCTGGAACATGGCCATACAGCCCGGAAAACACACAACAACCCAGTGATTCCGGCCATGAAAGCCTTCGACAATACATTGTATGAATAAAATTATTTTGCCCAGTTGTGGAAAAGCAACAGTAGAAATAGACATAACATTATTGAGCCTGAATTCAACTAAGAAAGCCTTCATCAAGAAGTGCAGATAAAAAGGAATGATAAATTGTCAAGTAAACTTGTAACAAGGCGGTGTGTGTGTGTAGAATGTAGTGCTTGTGTTAGTGGGACTTTCCTTACAGTTGATATTATCTCCCATTCTGTATTTCTAATGGTGTCTGTAGTTTTATGGAGATCATTTTAGACATCCAGTTATAGTAGTACTCATTCTGAATGTGGTCCGTGGAAGAATATTAAGTATGCAGACTGAGCTTCTTTTTTATTCTCCCCTCCCCTTTGTTCTTTTTTCTTTGCTATATAGAATTGTTTTATTATGGATGCAACCATTCTGGATGATTCACAAAAACCATTTTGGTGTATTAGTGCTCCAGTCAACATGATTCTATCTCCCAAACCATCCACTTTGTATCAATATTTGGGACCCAAGTATTACGTTACTCATGTGGATTGCACTGGGAAAGTATACATGGAGCTGGTGTGGATGAAAGAAACAAGTGAATACTATGTAGTCAATCTTATCCTTTATTTTAGCACACAGAAAGTTAATAGCTGGTTTGGCACAAATTACTGATGTTTTTTCTTCGTTGTTTATAGTTTTCTTAAAACTATTTTTTTGTAAGTTTACTGTTTTGAAAACATGTTTTGTACTTTGCAATTTACAAAAGTTCTTTGAACTAAGAAGAAAAGACTTTGTGTTGTTTTGATTTGATTTTTGGTGTAATAAAAAAGTAAAGGAAATAGTTTTGAATCTCTGGACTACATGTGTTAGTGCATAAATTCAGTACTTTAATAAAACATTAGAGTTGTGTACAGATCCGTTTTTCAAAATGGGCTCCGGCTGGTTCAGCCCTTTCGGCCAGCCGTAATGGGACGGGTGCCACCACCATTTTTTCTGACATAACAGACCATGTTGCTGCCAACTACGGCTATGTTTAGTTTCATTCAGCTACACGTGAAGCGTGGAGAGGCAGCCATGCACTCACATGGGGTTTTCCTGTGAGCCTTGCCTGTTGAGCTAATCAGAACAGAAGAAAGCCATGATGTGTCTTTAGCCAGGCTGGGCCTCCATTTTTCTGTTGCAAGCAGGCTTCTGAGAAAGATCGTGCTCCAATCTGCTGGTGATCTAAATTCTCAGTGTCGCTTGCAGCTCTGCATCACTTGCCTTGCTTTTTGACTCAAATAAACATTTACTTTCCACGCACTTAAGAAACTGACACCGATGGTGCTCTTCACTCAATACAAGTTTCAAATGTGGGGTAGAGGCATATTGCCATTTCTAAAACTGCCATAAAATGAATAAGTGGCTCTCATTGAAATGAGTGTTTAGAAAGGCTGCCTAAACTCAGCTTCATTGAAAGGGTGTTGAGGAGAAAGGATCTCAGAAAAGGTGGTTTCTTGAGTCTGATGCCTTAAACCCAGGTCTTATTGAAGGATCTGCAGAGAAATGATGCCAGAAAAAATGATTTCTTAAGACTGATCCCCTAAAATGACAGAAAGGGGAGGCTGGGAAGTTCCCCAGTGCCACAAATGGGCCAAATCTTCCTGGAGCAAAAGCAGTTCTTTCGGCTGCTGGATTGAAAACTGGAATTTTGCTCGTCTGAATTCAGGAGGCTCCTAAAAAATGGATTGGAAGAGAGGGCATTGAAATCCAGACACCAAAAACAACATAAGGTTTAGCTGAAATGCACAACACAATAAAACATGAGCAAAATTTATACAGGTTCAGAGATTTTTTTCTCCCAAGTTTTTAAGGCTGTATATATGGCAGTGGTGATGGGAAACTGTTTGCTTGAGCTTACAGAACTTTATCTGAATCTGAAGACCTTACACATCTAACTTGCCCAATTTCCATTAATTTGAAAGGTTCATTCTAGATGGGATTAACTGGGATTTACCATAGTTTCAATGTAATGACGTGAATGGTTTCAATGAATTTGGAGCCACAGTGTTTAACCAATTGTGATGAACGCTGGACAGCAGGTTTATATTAGCCTTGGTATTTATCCCACGGGTTATTAGATATTCGAGGGTTTGTTTATTTTGAAAAATTGAAGTTCTATAGAGGTTTCACCCCCCCCCCCCCGGGCAATAGAAGAGAATCTGTACAAATTCTGTTAGAAAGCAATAATGTTAGTTAGTGTTTATTTATTTATTTATTATTTATTTACTGTATTTGTATACTGCTTTTCTCACCCCGAGGGGGACTCACAGTGGTTTGCARGTAAAGGAAAAGGTAAAGGTTTTCCCTGATATTAAGTCTAGTTGTATCTGACTCGGGGGGGGGGGGGCTCATCTCCATTTCTAAGCTGAAGAGCCAGCATTGTCCGTAGATACCTCGAAGGTCATGTGGCCAGCATGACTGCATGAAGCACCGTTGCACATAGTTTGGTACATAAACCTACTTTCTATGATTGCAAAGAAATGAACCCTTAAAAACCAAGATGGTTACCTCAATTAGTACATTAATTGGCATTATCTTAGAACAACCTTATGACAACATGCAGTTTTTCAAGTCGCTCCTGACATGACAAAATGACAACATCTAACTTGCAGCATTAATTTGGCCTTGGATTCTTCCATGAGGCCACTAAGAAAGGAGAGAAACAAGGGGTGTGAGTAAGACAGAGCCACAGCACGGGCCTTGAAGTTGCAGATTTGTTGGCTGCTGCTCTCTGATATGGGAGGAACATTTATCAAATATGAATATTTACTGGCCAAGCAAAGGCATTTAATTGTTCTAGTCTGCCCAATAATGACCACTTCTTTTTCTAATCACTCATTTCTGTGTACCTCCTTTTTATGCTGTTCAGCTGGGTAAAAAGATCAACACCAGCTTGTTAGGTTTGCATATTTATTCATGCCTATACTTAACCTTGCAAATTGCCTAGATGTTACCCATAAGAAAATCAGTATACTATTCAAAGATTTTTTCAGAAAACAGTCTGCAGTGCAAGGGTAAACAATGCAAGTAATACTGCATTAGTAGTTAATGAATATGGTACATTAATCAGACTTCCCTCATTGTTGAAGGAATCTACAAAGCAGCATCAATACCAATGTGATTTGAGTCAGTAATTAAAACTGACTGATTAAAACCCCTCCTTGAGTTAAACTGTTTTAGATCACTGATTTAAAATACTGAGGCTGAATTTAAACCATCCTGTTCTAGTTCCAGCATAAGACACAATAGATAAAGGACTTCAAAAAGGAGAAACCAGGGATTTCATTAGCCACAGGACCACTGCAGTAATTTCCCATGCAAGCAAGATGGAGTGAATGGGAAAATGTGTGCCATTGTGTGCACTTGAAACTTAGTTTCAGTAGAAGATAAGGGCATTTGAATTCAAGGAGCCATTGAAATGAGGTATCAGCATCTTTTTCATCTGTTCTGTACTTGACAGATCGGCCAGATTTCTTTTCTTGTGTCTTGGTGCATTTTTCTCCTTCATTTTATCAGCAGGAGGGAAATGGACATAGCCCACACAATGTCTCAGATCATGTTTGATCTTTTCCCCAGGCCGGGAACTGAATATTTCATAAGATAACAAAGAATTTTAAACAATAGTGGATGGATCCTTTGCAAACAAGCATAGTTCCACACTGGGAAAACCCCCAGTTTTAAGCACGCAGAACAGCGGAGTAGACATGGGGGCGTCACATAAATGTAATTTGAGTTGCCTGATGGTGTTAAGTTCCTACAGGTCTGAAGTAATAATGAAGGAAATGCTTTTGCACATAAGCAGAGAACCTTTTCCTTTCTTCTCTGTAGCCACAACTAACTTCCTTTTAAAAAGAAAACCACACAGAAGTGTATATTTATGTTAATTGCCCTAGAAATATACTGTATATACACATGTATAATTTTACAACTTTAAATTCAAAATCGTCCCCCAAAACCTGGTTTAATCTATCCATGTGTCAATGTAAGTAACTTAACTCTCTCTGAGTAGAGAGGTGTGCACTTGTAAAGGCAAGATATTACTTTGTCCTGGGAGAACCTAAAGGAAGCACCTCTATTCCCTCTGCCATTGTACCACTTCTAACATTTCAAAATATCTGGGTGAAAAATAATGATGGTGGCAACCAGGGGCAGCCGGCCACCTCTGGCAGCGCTGGAGTATATTTTTCTATGTTAATTTCCCCATTTCTCTAACTTATCAACAGGTCAGGTCAAAAGCCACAATTTTGACTCCAAAACCTGCCCTTGATTTATATATGAGTGTGCTGGTACAACTGTACCAGGAGCTCCAATTTTGTTTGCTTTGCATTTAATGTTCGTTATAGTCCTAAGTTTCAGGGACTCAGCAGATAGGTGGCTTCTTTTGGCTGCAATCATAGGGCAAGCCACCTGTCAATTATCGTTAGGTTCCCTGGTCCCGCCCCCTTTGGGGTTTTTGAGGGAATAAGAGCCTTTTTGAGTCAATCCACACAGAGCAGCTTTCCATACAGGACACGAAACCAAGAGCTCCTGCAGAAAGCTTCGTCTTCTACGGCTTGGCCGGGGAGATACACAGCCACAGCTTGGCCGAGGATCATACAGCCTTACAGCTCCTTTGCTGAGGGACTTCAGCCAGCCATCACCGAAACCTGAACTCCTTTTTCCCTGGAAGTCTACAAAGCTCTGCTTGGTAAGGGTCGCTCGCGGAAGCCAGACGCAGTTGGTACCGGGTGCAGGGGCTCCACGCCAACAGAGGCAAGTACAGACTGCCCAGATTGGAAGTTAAGGATTTCCCCATTAGTTATTATATAGTTATGAAGATAGTGCCTGTTCCCAGTGAACAAGATTGCAAGAGCCTATAGACTGTTAAGAAAGCTTTAAAGTACCTGTTTGTTTTCATCAATAAAGAACTTTGTTGGACTTACTTTAAGCCTCTACAGAACTTTGTTTTGGGGAGGTCCAAGGGCCTTAATCTGAGGCAGCCCCGGCGTCCCGTTGGGCACACAGAATTTATGTCCTGTCTACAGTCATATGCACAGGCCCAGCGTGCGACAGCACAATGAGGTTGACTTATATATTAGTATATTCGGCAGCAATGAAAGCGCTTGCCATTTGGCAAAAGTGGAAAATGCCCCAGAGATGGATAGAAGGAGTGCAACATAAACTGATTTGATATTTTGTTATTTCCATTGTGCAAACAGCCATTGTTTTCCATGAGAGCATCTGAATGACAAGTTATTGTTTGCATGCAATGCTTTTCTTTCTTCTGTGAAGGCTTTCAATGTGATATACAAACAGAAATGCTACAAAAATGTCACAAGACTAAGCCATTCAATAGCTTGTTCCAAGACATTTGGGACTTTAGTTGATGGCATAAATTTCTATTCTTTTCTGACTCTTTTGTCTCCCCCTTAGGGCACATAGTGATTTTGAGCAGCCAGATGCAGGTGTCTACACAGTTCTTGACTATTCCTTCAGGCCTCATGGTATTGTGCAGTTTTTGCTTTCTCTTCAAAGGGAAGAAATTAAAATATGGAGTTTGAGAACAGAAATGTGGCAATGGCAGGAGAGTGGTATGAGCAGGTTACAGCTCAGTATAAGAATTCTGCTTCCCAAATTACATTTTCCTTCAGTGGTCAGAGTAGGACATTGAAAATCATTCATATCTAAAAATCTTATACTTCCTGCGCTCATATTCCCTTGGAATCTTTCCCTGCACCTTTTCCTAGAATACTTAAGCTATTTTTCTGAACACTCACCTACCATTTTAAGTTGCTAAATGATAGAAAA